TGGTGCTTGACCGGGCCGTTGCACTGGTGGGCGGCCCAGTCGACATCGCTCGCCTCGCGCTGCGCCGATGTGAGCTCGCGGGCAATGTGGTCGGCGGCGCGCAGCTTGCGCTCGTCGTTGCCAAACGACTTCATGACAAAAGCCGCAAACTCGGTTTCGTTCAGCAGCGCAAACGGGTTGTGCACCGAGAACTCGGCCTCGGGGTGCTCCTTGTTGAGCTGCTCGACGATCTTCTTGGTCTCCTGGAAGCGCTCGAGCTGGATCGCGTCTTCCGACTCGGCGCCTTCCTGGCGGCCGTTGGCCTCGATTGTCGGCACAAAGCCGCTCTCGATGGCCTGCTGGCCGACCTCGCTGGCCTTCCACTCCTCAAACTCGCGGACAAGGTCGAGGCTCTCTGGGCCAAAGACGTCGGCGGCGGCGGCAGACGTGGCGAGGGCGGCGACAAGAATCGTGGCGGCGTGGATCATGTTGTGTGGAAAATGGAAAGTTGTGGAATGAGCTCTCGGGGTTGGTGCACGCCGGCGTGTAGAAGGGACCGCGCCAATGCGGAGTCCTACGCGCCAGTCTGCTTTCCAAGAAGCGTGTGACGCGGAGCTTGATCTATGATAGTACATCGCGTGGTGCATCGTACTCGGTCGAGTTCTGAAGTTGAGAAAGGGACCGCATACATTACCACAGAGACGCACATCAACAGCTGGCAGCGTGACCTGCTCAAAGCAAGGCGAGAAACCACCTGTGTCGGAGGTGAGCAATTCGGCGAGCAAAAGGCTATGTGCGATGTGCGAGGTCGGATCCAGACGTTGGCACAGACCGTTCCTTGTGCGCCACTATTGTCATCACGTTGCGAGCTCTTGAGCAGGTCCACGACAGCTCGGGCGTGGAGAGCTGGCTCGTTCTCTGATGTAGCACCCAGGTGCTCACATCCCGTGCGTCCTTTACCCGGGCGCGTACTGTATTTGACTCGGGATTTACGTACTAGAGCAGAGAGACGCTATACTGCCCGAGCCGGAGAGGCAGCGAGAGCTCGGATCTCCGGCGTCGAACATGGGTTCATCTGCGACGGCCGCGGACCTGGGTGGCACCGGAGGTAGGTCTAGGGTAGGTCTAGGGTAGGTCTAGGCGTGTCTGATACGCAGTCCTTCTAGCCACGCGTCGATAGATGTCTGATAAATCAGTCGAACGTGCTTTCGTCGCATGCATCATTCGGACTGCGAACCCGTAAATAGTACAGAGAAACGATGGCCTAGTGGCGTGTGGTTTGGCCATTCTGCGTGCGAATGTCCGTGGCCATCGCAGGGACCCCTCGGCGCAATTCGCCCGCATCGCACGCGCTTCGTAGTCGTAGTCGTAGGAGCGCAGCTGACTCTGGAGGGATAGGGCTAGGATCTGTGCAAGGAGATCGTCGTCGTCGAGGTGTGGCCGACCGAATCGCGGCTTCCGTGGGGTGGATCAGGAGGCAAGTGTCGTTCAATGCTTGCTTCCCACGCAGCACGTGGCTTGGGTGGGACCTTGGAGACTCTTGCAAAGTCTCTACATGCATCCAAAGCGCACCGCGGCGTTGCTTGTGTTGGCTTGGGTCGGGATTAGTCGTGCGCTGGCAGTGCCTCCGTCGACATAGCTTCTCTTGGCATCGACACGGTGTGTGTCGGCCTGGACTTGACGCTCGACGATGGCGACGACCTGCAGAGGCAGGAGCCAAGACAAACCGTCCGCGCCACCGGCAGCCTCTTCATACACCAATTGCAGTCGGGACACTGCTCAGCCTCGTCTCGGTCGCTGTCTCGATGTCGACAAACGCAATCGCTGGGTCGAGCTGGTCGCCAAGCAGCGTCGTCGAGGCGGCGCATATCAGCTGCTTTCCTACGCAATGCTTTCGGTGTCGGTGTTGTTGTCTTCACGGACAAAGTAGCTGCGGCAAATGCCAAGACAAGGTCACCACGCGCAATGACCTCGACCAGAAGCGGTCACGGAGGCAGCAAGAGCGCCTTCGCTACAAGGCAGAACCGATGCACACTGCTGGTTGTGAGTTGCGGCGGTCTCACCCATCGACGTCGTCAAAGCGGCGGCACTTGACGATCACGTGGTTGTCTTGGTCGCCGCAGAGCCCACCGCTTGCTGCCAGTTTGCCCATCTTTGCTGCCAGGTTGCCACGATTTCGACTGCTGCTTCGCACCGATTGGCTGCAATAAGCGCTTCAACGAGTTCAAAGTCTTCCACCAGCAGCTCAGCACGGTCACGTCGGTGCCGGCGCTGCCCGAGGCC